GGGGCACAAGGGGGGGGGGGTTACTGGGCAGGGAGGGGAGGAGACTGGGTTAAGGTTGGGGATGGTAATGGGGACTGAAACTAAATGTACATGTAATGTTGAATGGAAAACAAACTCTCCTCTGTAAACTTGCACCTAAAGAACAATAAAAAATAAATAAAATAAAAAAGAAGTATTTCAACTAATATAACAATGAATATATATCAGTGAATATAAACATATATATATATACCAAAAATAAAAAATCATTGATTTTTTTGGAAATAGATTACCAAGAGTTTCTTCCCAGGTGCCTCTGGGTAGATTTCAACTTCCAAATTTTCATTTTGCAGCCTAGAACTTAACTATGTGTGCTACCAACCAAAACCAACTAAACCCACTCCACTGAATCAATTCTGACTCATAGCAACCCCCATTGGGTTTCTGAGGCCATATATCTTTACAGAAGTAGATTGTCCGCTCTTGCTTTCATGACTGCTGGGTTTGAACCACCAGCCTTCTGGGTAGCAGTTAGATCCCTTAGGAACTGTGCTTCCAGAGCTCCTTGTGTGTTACCAAAGAACTCAAAAGATAAAATAAGCACACATATGCACAAGCTAACAGCAAAATAAGCAAATGAAATAAGCATCTAATTTGAAGGAAAATACATAAATGCTTTTAAACATGTGAAAAAATGCCCAAACTCAGACAAACAAACAAATAAAAAATGTTATTTTTTAAATACATTAAAAACAAATAAAAATGTTAAATATAATGGAAAAATACTTTTTAACCCATCAGACAAATGTGATGTTGACTACAGTATAGGCAGACAACTCACTCATACCTTGTTGTAAGAGTAAAAAAGTAAATTTTGACCATTCTAAATTTGGCATATGTAATATTATTTAATGCATATACTCTTTGGTCCAACATTCCCAATTCTAGAAATTTATTCCATAAATAAAAACCATGGACTAGTTTTCTATTACTGATGTAAAAAAGTACCATAAATTTAGTAATTTAAAACACCACAAACTTATTATCCCACAGTTTCTGTAGATTAGTAATCTGGGTGGGCTCATCTAGGTTCTCTACTTAGGGTCTCACAAGGCCAAAATCAAGATGGTGGCCACCTAGCTTCTTTCCTGGAGGCCCTGAAGAAGAATCTACTTTCAAGCTTATTCAAGTTGTTGTCAGAATCCAGTCGCTCACAGTTGTAGGATGAAGACACTCACTTCCTTGCTGGTTGTCAGCTAGGAGCTGCTCTAAGTTAGGTAGGGCACCCACATTCCTTCTCACATGGCCATGTCTAGCCTTGTAACAGCAATGGTGCGTTGAGTTCTTTTCACACTTTGAAATTCTTTGACCTTCTTTCAACCTTCCTATCTTCTTCTTCTAAGGACTCAGATCATTAACTTGGGCCCAACTAGATAATCCAGTATAATCTTCCTATTTCAAGGTCAGTTGATTAGTAGCCTTAATTACCTTTGCCATGTAACATAACATATTCATGAATCACTTTATCAATAAATTCATAGATTCTGGGGATTAGGTCAGGACATCTTTTGGAAATTCTGCTTACTCCATACACTTCACCCTCTGTCCCTGTGGTAGTTAAGTTGTGTGTCAGTTTGGCTGGGCCTGGTAATGAGTGGCTGCTGGTAACCAACTCCATGATGGAATAGGACTACAGCAGCTGAATAGCTGCCTTAGGGATTTTGTCTGCTTCCAGTACATAAGGAGAAGTTTTGAGAACGGTCTCTACAGCTTTTTGGTACACTTGGACCCTGTGTGTAGCTGAGTCTTCATTTAGCAGCCTACTATGTTGTCTGCCAATCTTGGGACTATCTCTGGACTTGAACTAGTGGCCTGACATGTTGTTTGGTAATGTTGGGAGTGTGTCATTTTATTTGTCGACCTTGGGTTTGTTAGTCTCAGTAGCCAGCAGCTGCCTGAGGAAAGAGACACCTCTAGCTCCAGTGGACAGGGTGCAAGAGGCAGAGCTGAAGCCCAAGGTCGAGGGGCTTTCACCCAGTCCCGAGAGCTGGCACTTGAACCTGAACTTCTAGCCTCCAAAACTTTAAGAGAATAAAGCCTTGTTTGTTAAAGCCACCACCTGTGGTATTTTTGTTAGAGTGGCACAAAGTAACAAAAACAATATATATACATATTGTGTATATGTCACAATTTTAAAAAAAATTAAGGTTATAATAAATTATTTTGCTCTCCTAGGTGACAAAGTTATCACACTTTTTCTACCGCAGTGTGGAGAATGTACCTCTTGCCTAAATATTGGTGGCAATGTTTGTATAAAAGTAAAGTAAGTCTTTGCTATTACTTTCTTTTTGAAAAATTAATTCAATTCCATTGTAAGAGATCTAAATTTTCTAATTCAAAACATTTTTCCTTTATTTTCTATAAAAGAGAGTCATACGACGGGCTGATGTCTGACGGCACCACTAGATTTACCTGCAAGGGAAAATCAATATATCATTTTGCTAATACGAGCACTTTCTCTGAATACACAGTGATGAGAGAAATTTCAGTTGCCAAAGTTGATGCAGGTGCACCTCTGGAGAAAGTATGCCTAATTAGCTGTGGTTTTTCCACTGGGTATGGTGCTGCAATCAATACTGCAAAGGTGAGGCGCATTTATATTTATCATGAATGGAATCCTCAAGATACACAGTTGAAAAGTCCACATGCATCTGGGTCTTCTGTGATTATACAATCTGAGGAATAATCACACACCTGCCTCTAGACAACCTTGGGTTCTCTATGCTCTGCCTGGTCATCCCATGCCCCATTTGATATTTTACACATTGCCTGCCTGTTTGTAAGTAGTAAGTGGCCAATCAATTCTGAATGCCATTCACAAACGGAGATATCAGGAATTACTGGCACTTGAGCAAAGCACAGTTACAACATGATTGTGTGCCATTCCACAATCCAATTCATTCTTTCATTCAACATTTCTGGAGCATCTACTGTGCCAGACACTATTCTAAGTTCTAGAATTCAGCATCTAACAAAACTCATTGAATTTATATTCTAATGGCAAAATAACAGAATAAAAAATATATATCAGGTGGTCATAAGTGCCAGTAAAAATAAGAGTAAAGAGACCAAGACCCCAAAATGGGGTGTTGCTACATGAGATAAATTAGTCAAGTTATCCCAGAATAATTGACTGAGCTACTGGTAAATTATGGCATCCAAATCTTTTCAGAGTCCTTCTTTAAGTGGCTATTGAATTTTAGGTCTTTGCTTTTTTCCAATGTCCCGTAGTTCCAGTAATATACAGAGAATTAGGATGAAAAAGGGCTCAATTTAAAATGGTTCGATTTTGGACTGTACTGAATAAGTCTTTGCCTTCATAAGGCATTGCCATTGTTAGTAATGCAAAGTCTTTTGTTGTTAAGTGCCGTCGAGTCATCTTCAATTCATAGTGACTACATATATTTAAAAGAAAAAAGAAAGGAATGGTTGCAGTAAGATGGATAGCTTTAAGGGACTTGGAAATATCTGAAACTGAATCAATATTCTGTGCAATAAATCTTAAGATTCCATGAATATTGATTACAATACTTCCATCCATGTTAATTCCTGGGACTTTGAAAGTTTGTTTACAGGTAGGTTTTTTTGTTTTGTTTTGTTTTGTTTTTGTTTTTTGCTCCTGTTTAAAAAGAATGTTCCATATGGAAGTATGCTAACCAGAAGTCTGGCAGTCAAACCCACCAGCCACTCCTCACAGGAAGATGGGGCAGTCTACTTTCGTAGTAATACTGCCTCAGAAACCCAAGGAGGGGTCTCTATGAGTTCGATCCAACTCGACGGCAGTGAGTTTGGTTGGGTATATCTAGAAATATTTTGAGAAATGAAAACTCTAGTTATAGTGTTTTATTTGAAAATGTCCTTTGTTTATGACTCAAAGGAAGTATTCACTTGGCCTTCGTAATTAAATACATACACATGATCCATTTGCTTTTGTTTTCTGTCTTCATGTGCTCAGGTCACTGCAGGCTCTACCTGTGTTGTGTTTGGCCTTGGAGGAGTGGGCTTGTCTGTTATTATGGGCTGTAAGGCAGCAGGAGCAGCCAGGATCATTGGAGTGGACATCAACAAAGACAAATTTGAAAAAGCAAAAGAGGTGGGCGCCACTGAGTGCATCAACCCTCAAGACTTCAAGAAACCCATTCAAGAAATTTTATTTGAGATGACCAATGCTGGTGCAGATTTTTGCTTTGAGGTCATTGGAAATCCAGAAACTGTGGTATGTACTCTTTTGTAGTGAAAAGTACCAGTATCTTTATAGGTGATCATCTTAGCTTTTAATTTAATGAAACATCTTAAACTCCCTATACATTTCTCTAACATTCCTTATCCCCCATGGCATCCCAGCTGGTACCCTTTGTCCACTACAATAAATCTGTTCCCTATCCTTGACACTGAATCTATACCTTCTGTGCCAGGATTTCTTCTCCCGCTCTGTTCCATCATACCATAAGACCTTCATGTAAGCAGATACTCTCCAATAGGCAACAGAGTTAGACTTTGAAAAGAATCGTGGCTAAATTATTTCATAACAAGACACAGCCTGATAACTATAATTTCTGTTCCAGGAAATTTAAGCTAGATAAGGTAAACACTGAATTCAAGACCCTGTAAAACAATGAACTTTGCACTTTCAACAGTCTTTAGTGTTAGATCCGAGATAAGCTTCCACAGATACTATCTATTAATCTTGATTAAATGGATTCATTTCAAAAGTGAAACATGACATGATTTGAAATAGTTGATATGGTTTCATTTTATTTTTTCTGGGAGAATTGTTTATATACAAGACTATGAATTGAGAAGAAGGTATTTTAAAATGTGAGGCTTGTTTGTCTTCCTTAGAGATTTGAAGAAATAATATAATATATTCTGGGTAGCATGGCTCAATTTTTTAATCAGCTGTATGAAAATTCAAGAACTGCCTCTTTCAATATTCACCTTTTCCCCAGCAAACAAAATGTTTTCATTCTTCATTACATCTAAATTTCCTTCTCAGTAAAAAGAAGGTAGCAAAACCTTTTATATAGTTTTGCTCTGAGAAATAGCTTTGAAAATGACTTGTGGAAACATGTCTCTTTATTATTACTAAGTAGCACACAGTGCTATAAAAATACCTAACTGTTCTTTTCAATGTCTGAAAAAAAATGTCAGCAATAATATAAGCACTTGTGTTAGTGATGGTTCTAATAAAAATTACTACCATGTTTGCACTTGACTGCTCACCAGAAGGCTGGCGGTTCAAACCCACCAGCCACTCCTCAGAAGGAAGGTTGGGCAGTCCTACTTCC